GTCGTTATTACCGTAACAGTTCGGAGGACCGAAGTTTGTTCGCAGATTGATCGCAGAGCAGCTATATTAATAAATCTTTATATTTTATAATACAAGCATCTTAAAGGAAACTTATCTGTTACGGCTGTCGAAGGCAGTATGATTGTATTGCTACCTAAGAGTACGCTCTGTAATGAGAAAGAAAGATAAAGAGGGAAAGGAAGAGAATGAGTGCAGAAGAAGAGGTCTTGTAGGCTGTCTTGCCAAGACGGGAGCCCAAGGTCACGAAGTAACGTGTGACCTTTAGGCGTGTAGCTACGTGACCTCCGCGTGACCGCCATTACTACCGTAACATTATCGGTAAACCAATTCTATAGACTTCGACGGAGATACCCATAGCACGGTACAGGCCTAAGTACGTACGTACCGGTAGTACGTACTACTACTACGTATTATCCCTTAAGGGTGCCTCAAAAGTTTAGTTTCCACTTTAAACCCCTTGGTTACTTTACCCTCGAGAGGTAATACTACTACTATCTGTCAAGACATAAGGGAGAGGAATTGATTCTAAGATAAGAAGGCAACATTACTCGTGGCTGGCAGTCTCCGCGGCAAAAGGCCATGGCTGAGGTTCTTTAATGAGTGACTTCAAGTGATAGTCCGTGGTGGCCTGACTCCAAGTACCAGAAAACTGCTGCATAAAGTTTGGAATCGTCAACGTCGTCGACTGCGTGGCGCACGATCGATGGATTGACGCGTAGGGGTGCGATAAGGCGACGCTGTTCGGGGCTATCGAGGATACCTGAGTACTTGCAAGCACTTTAAGACCATACCAAGTTCAGATCAAGAAGACACGGTCCAAGCAGAAATGCAGATCGGTGATCCCTTATTCCTTATCTGATTCTGCAGAAGTGATTTGTTTTTGGCAGTGAAGAGACTTTGGCACTGGCAATCGATAAGTTGCCTACTGACGATTCGTAAGGTAGGCCTTAAGTTGTAGTTCTTTAGGTTCGTATGTCAATGCGTGGTCCACGTTACTGTTCGTCTGTCTTCTTACAAACTCATCTCATTTATCAAGAGGCGGGAAGGGACGAACGAGAAGAATATACTACCGGTACGTACGTAGTACATTACTGCCTCGAATCCTGCGTGATTCCCGGGCATTATTACAAAGTATAATCCTCGGCCAAGCTGAGGGCTCATTTACTACCGTCCCAGGCGTAAGTATTACCCCTTGAGGGTAGGGTGACCAGGGAGTTTATAGTGGGAACTAAACTTTTGAGGCACCCTCGAGGGGTAATACTTACGCCTGTATCGTAAGTAAATCCGAAGAGATAATGCTTTAAAGATAAGATAATTAATCAATTGTAAACTGTTTAAATATAGCTTGTTCATGCGATGGGATACTTTTTATAAATGTACTTATTACGTTATGAAGTAATTTCACGAACTTGAATCGCTTAAACACTTTCAAAGTACGTAGTAGTAGTACTACGTCCCAGGCGTGATAGTAGTAGTTACCGAGGGCTGAGATACCAAGGTGTTTAAAGTGGAGATTCAAACTTTTTAGCCACTCAGGCGGTAATTAGTAGTATTACGTTGTATCAGTGGCTTACTATTGCGCACAACCTTTTGAAGATAGATAGGTAGACTCGCTTAAACAAAATCCAGACTCGATAAACAATATTTCTCAGGTGAAATTGATTACCGCGCTCCTGACTTCTTTACTCTCTGCATCCGCTGATTACTTAGACCCTTCTAGCAGGAATTTTTCCGGAGCAGGACTGAGGTGTTGCTAGAGGTTGGCTGTAGGGCTAGTAAAGCTAAAGAGCAAGGATTTCTCGTTACTACGTCGCAGGCGTAAGTATTACCCCTCGAGGGTAGGGAAAACAGGGGGTTTAAAGTGGAAACTAAACTTTTAAGGCACCCTCGAGGGGTAATACTTAGGCCTGTACCGTGGTACATTCAATATAGTACATAGCAATATGAAAGCCTCCGTGCGCTTTGGTCGCGATCGAGGTGAGCTTTTGTACTTTCTGTTGACTTGCAAGCGCTATCGATAGATAACAAACGCCGCTCGGCTACCTTACTCTCCCCTTATGAATACATATCGAAAGCATAATTTTGCAAGGGATCTTATCAAGCTTTAAACCGATCAACTTCAAGGATTCATTCAACCTAGAAAACTATCTTTGAGCCAGCATTTAATAGTGGGCCTTGACGTCGCAACTTTTGGGGCCCTTCCTTAAAGTGGGCGAAAAAAGTCTGTCCCGCGTCAGCGCAAACAACGGCGAGGAACGTAGACACTTATATTGCTTATAATATTGCTTATAATATTGCAATTAATATATATATTTAATAAAGTTATTCATTTTTAATCAAGCTACGAAAATTCTATTTTACCGCGTGTCTTTTAAATTAAATTAAAAGATTCTATAAATCGAATCGACGGCGACTCTTTTTGTCTTTTTTATTTATCTTCTTCAAGCTCTTTCTTAAGCTCTTTTTATTTAATAAGCATTATTTTTATTAAAAAGACGATTTATTTTCTTATGATCTTCGTCGTCGTCGCTAATTTAAATGCAAGCTAATAGATTTTATTCAATTCGAAAGCCTTTTTTTTTTTTGCAAATATTTGAAAGTCGATTGAATACAAAGCGTTCGCGAACTTAGCAAGATCTTCTAGCTTATCCTTTTGAAAATATTATAATAAATTATCAACGTTTTTCGCCGTTTTTTACGATGAAGCTTGAAGCGGGACAGACTTTTTTCGCGGGACATACTTTTTTCGCCTACTTTAGGGAAGGGCTCCAAAAGTTGCGACGTCAAGGCCCATTATTAGTCTGTGCAATGGAGTTGACAGGGCTTTAAGCCATTCAGAAATCACTGCTTTACGATTTACTAGTATGAAGCTTTACTGGGTCCGACATTTATTCATAAGTGGGGATAGTAAGTATAAAATGATATCGATAATATCGATAAGGTTTCACAGAAATTTATAAGGTTTAAAGGAGATCAATGAAGTGGGTGATGTTGGCGATATCGGTGATGTTTGAAGTTCAAAGATCAGCTTGTAAAAGAGGAAGAGAAAGACAGGGGCCTGGGGGGGAGCCAGCTCGTTAAAGAAGGGAGCTTAAAACTCAGCGCGTCTAATAACTATAGGTAAGGAATTGATAATCGTAGTAAGCGAAGGGAATAAGAAGGAATGAAAGGGGTGTGGTGGTTAAGGGTTAAAGGTTTGCGCGCCTGGTTATTTGGTTATAGTTATGGCTGTATCCGTAGTGATACGTAGTAATCTTAGTTATGGTTTCAATAAGAACGCACGAATCAATATATTTGAAACTATTCCCCATATGAATACAATAGAAGGCGGATCCAGTTTAGCTTTGGAAATCGAAGAGCGGTGGTTTCTGAATGGCTCAAAGCATTCTCAACTGTATTGCACAGACCAAATGCTTAAAGATACTTTCCAAATCTGGATCGCTATAAGCTCATTGGTTCGAGCCCTAGTTCGAGCCCTTGCGAAAATATACTTTCACCCTTCATTCATTGGGGGGGGGGTAGTACTACCACGGTACAGGCGTAATTGTTACCCCTTGAAAGTGCCTCAAAAGTATAGTTCCCACTATAAACCCCCTAGTTACCCTACCCTCGAGGGGTAATACTTAGGCCTGTACCGCGGCATATTGATTCCTGCGCAGCAAAATCGGGTAAGGCTGCAAGTAATTACAAAGGAGGCTGCAGTTGTACCGAATTTCTCCTTCGCGAGAGCAGCCGCTGGCGTGGAACATAAACATAGTAGACGAGCGTCTTATCAAGTGTTTCCCATTTGAGCAGGAAAAGGGTCTATTGGGTATATTTCTGAAAAAGCATACGAGTGCTTTTTTGCTTTCTACGTAGTATTTATTGGAGTGGTAGTGAGAAGCAGGGAGAGCCTGAGGGCGCAGCGACGACACAAGCTTACGGAATGACGACTAATCGCGCCTGCTTTTCTCAAAGTCAAACAAAGCCAAGCGAAAAGGTTAAGCGAGAAGGAACAAAGGTTTCTGCTTGGAATGGACTGTCTGGCCGAGGGAGTCTCTCCTATCTTTGGATCTACAACTCAATCCACCCACTTACGTAGTACGTCCTGACTAGGTATTGGCTCCTAGCCAAGCAAGTGTTCGAGAAAAGAGAAGGCGGGATAGGACGGAGTAAGTATTTTTCAAACAATAGCTTTTTTTTAGTCAGATCACCCCTCACCTAAGCAGTCTAGCCGACTCCACGCGTGTGAAGCCTAGGTTGATAGCCGTGTTAGCCATGTTGATCTACGAATCACGAGTAGCGATTTGGACTGGGAAACTGCTGACTTACCTCCCTCTCCTCCGTGATGTCTCGGCGCGCGAGTCGGGTGAAGTGGAATTGAGATTGTTTGACGAACGGTGGACAAGTCCGCTTTCCGGGGTCCCCTCGTTCTCTTGCCCCCGAGCCGATTTTGACGTGGCCCACGGGCCTGCCGGTGGTTTGGCTTCAGTGCTTCACTCTACGTTGCTGTCAAAGCTCCTTTGAGTGGGCCAAACTCCCGGGTTCTCAGCAGCGCCTCGTCAGAAAGTGGACAGAATCGATAATTGGCACATACCACGGTACAGGCCTAAGTATTACCCCTCGATGGTGCCTCAAAAGTTAATTTTCTACTTTAAACCCCCTGGTTACCCTACGCTCGAGGGGTAATACTTACACCTGGGATGTAGTACAAGGAGCCCGAGAGGTCCAAGAAGTCCAAGCAGTGATCTCCACGACCCCAGAAAGCGCAATCGATGCTTTGCTCTCGGTCCCGCTCTTTTTCTATCTGCATGATACGATTCTGTCCAAGTCCACACGGCGCTCACTGCCCTTCAGAGACCCGAGGCCCTGACATATAACGCTTCCCGCTTCCCGCTTCCCGGCTTGAAAGATCTTGGGAAAGCTGGGGGCGAAATCTATCTTGTCCTCTCGATCGTGTGCGCGCGCTGCCCAATCAGAGTCACCATATCCGAACAACGATGTCGACAGCAATCCCGACGGCCGGCGTGAAGCCAGCGGACTATGATGAACCGTTCGGGGCCAGCAAAAGCTGGCAAATGATAACGTCAGCTTCGGTGTGCATGGTATTTTCGACATTCTGGCTAGGGCTACGCCTCTGGACAAGAAGCCGCATCTCGAGAGAACTTGGGCCAGACGACTATCTCATTGCTGCGGCGTGGGTCAGTTGACTGGGTTCTCAATATCTAGCAAGTACCAAGCTGACCAGAGTCAGATCTTTGCAACGGCGATGTGCATAACAGAAATGGTTCAATGCTCTTATGGACTTGGAACCCACCTTTGGGAGGTTGATGTCATTAAATTCTCTACTTTCCTCCAGGCAAGTGTTTCGTTCCATCATTCTGCTTCTTTTCCGCCAGAACTAGTCACTAACAGGACCGAAGTTGAATATGGTCATCGGAAACACCTACGCGATGGCGTTAGCACTCTCCAAAATCTCCATCTTGGCTTTCTATCTCCGCCTCTTTCAGAAGAAGCGGTTCCGGATACTCGTCTACCTCACCGCCGCGTTTGTGATATCGTACACGATCTCGGGTATCTTCGTCGTCATCTTTACTTGCAACCCCGTCGCCGCGAGCTGGGACCTGAAGCTCATGATGTTGCCCAGCACGAAATGCCTCAACCGACCTAAAGCCTACCTCACCGCCGCCGCGTTCAATATCATGTCTGACATATTCGTCATCAGCCTCCCATGTCGTGAGATCTGGAAGCTGCAGCTGCCCCTAAGACAGAGGCTATCATTAATCGGCATCTTCGCCGTAGGACTCGCGTAAGCCACACCAGAAGCCGAAAGGCACCTTTCTTCCTCTGGAAGGCCACGGACTAACGCCCCCAATAGCGTATGCGTCATTTCCGTCCTCCGCCTGAAGTCGGTAGCCAACCTCCTGAACTCAGAAGACATAACCTGTAAGGCAACGCCCGCCCGTCCTCATCACCGCAAACCTGGTCCAAGCAAAACCCGCTGACACTAACCTCCTACTTACAGGGGACACGACGATCCTCCTCATCTGGTCCACGATCGAAGCCCACGCCACCATCGTGTGCGCCTGCAGCCCCACGCTCAAGCCGCTCTTCACGCGCTTCCTACCGAATTTCTTCCGCTCCAGCCTGTCCTCCGGGCGCCGGAAGGGGAGCTCCGGACCGTACGCGCTGAAACAGTCGCGCGACACCACGGGCTGCACGTACGAGCTCGGCTCGAGCCGCAAGTATGTCGACGCCGAGAACGGTAACCTCACCGTCGTAGGCCGCGGCGCGGCGAGGGAAGGCATGGTCACGTCGGTTAGCCAAGAGCGCATCCTGCACGGGGCCAGCGACGACGAGGTGTGTGTGACCCGGACGGTCGAGATCAAGACGGGGCGGATGGCGGACTGCTAGTACGTATTAGTGGGGTGAGGGGGGGGGGGGCGGAGGCCATGAGGCCATGAAGCCATGAGGTCATGATATGAGGACTGTGATGACTTGTAACGAAACTGGATGGTTTGTAAAAATGCTGCCCGGCTGGCTCTATACATGATAAGAGCTTGGCTAAAAAAAAATGAAAATGTATAATGATCATCAGCTAGCGAGATTCTTGAAGGCTCTGGAACAGTCAAAATGGTCATACATGGCGGATGAGCGAATGATATATTATCATGGGTGGCTGATTAATTGTTGACACTTCCGTCGGGCTCCGGTCGCTTATCTGTTTTGTTTACTTGATATGAGAACGTGACTTGAAAATTCAATAAATAGGAACAAAGCTCGGTCTGGATTAGTAATATGCATATATAAGTGATGGGGTGGTGAGTATACGGTATGATCTATGTATCGCTGCAAGCTAGGAAAGCAATTTGAAGTCTGAATGGAAAATCCGGATTCAGACGTTAACTTCTCCTCCGCGCCCCCTTTTTTTTGGGGTAAGATGAGGAAAAAACATTAGTGGGTACTGGATGATGGAATTCGATTGAGTTATAAGCGGTGCTCCTAATTTTCAGGTCACAGATAGAGAAGTTAGTAGATCGCACCTTGTGTATTTTTTTTTTTTTTTCTGTTTTTTAAAATAGATATTGGAAAGCTGGCAAGAGACTCATCGTCGTCTTACAGAGGGTAAGGCGAGAAGTAGAAGTGGCTGGTTGGCATTGAGGCAATGGACGCGGTAGTCTGGAAGTTCACCTTCGGTTGAAAAAGGGGCGAAAACACCGAGGCGAGGATAATGTTGACTCTTCAAAAAATTATCACCGCTATAATAAGTAGTCCTATATAAGCCCAGTATCACCGGAATTACTCCAATCTAGCTACTAAATAAGTAGATAGCATGTTATCCGGATTATCATCAGCCATGCTATAGTCAACCGGCATCTGAGGTGTTAGGACTTTGTCCTTGTGTACGCTTCAAAGCCTTTCCGGAAATTTTTCAAATCCGAAATGTAGGCCAGAGGATGAAGAAGAAAAACATCAACCAGCCCGTTGATAATACCCAAAGCATTTAAACAGATGTCATGGGTTCTTTTCTCCTTAACAGTCCTATTACTAAACTCCTTATTCTGCTCATAAAAGAACTCCCCACCGCCTGGACCGTATTGGCCACCATAGCTCTCGATCCACAGACTGAAGCCATCATCATATGGCTTATAAGCTGTCGTTATGCAAAAGTAGACCTGGAATGTACATGGCAGTTTCCAGTAGTATAACCCTATTTACCGCACGACAGCTATCAATTCGGAAAACCAGGTTTCAGCAAAGTGCGATAAAGCATAAGGAGCATGTGCTGTTTCATTTGCAATTACTCGCAACGACTCGCTAGCAAATTATAAGTCAGAAGAAGATTCATCTCGACATCTCTAGTTTTAATTAAATCCATTCGTAAGCGCGAGAATTTGTTTGAGAAGGGCAAAAGAACCCCGAAATTCCTTCCTTAATGTATGTGCTGAAATCGGTTGTTTTTCACGTCTCGCTCTAGCCTGCCTCGCTGAAGCAACGTCTACAGATCAGCATTGAAAAAAAAACCCCTTTATATCGACATATCAAGCATGTCTTCATCCCCAGCACCCCCCTTCTCAGCCCTCCCCCTCCAAAAAGACGGACCGCCCGGCAACGCATGGGGACTTTCTACCCGTCTACCCCAGAGCTCGGCTGGCTGACTCCCCAGACGACCCTCGCCGCGAGCAGAGAGATCGCCCACGGCATCCGGGTCACCACCGACTGGGGGATGGACGTGCCCCAGGTCCCGTGCTTCCACCGCCAGCCCTCCACCAAGAGATCCACCACAAGGCGCCTCGGACGGTGAACGACGAGATTGAGACGCTGAACACGCAGAGCACCTCCCAGGGGAACGGGTTCCGGGGTTCCGGCATTTCGGTAAGCGCGAAACGTGAAAAACAATAAAATAAGAAAAGGAGGGGGGAGAGCAAGGAAGATTTGACTGGGTTGCGGATGTCAAAAACGCGACAACGGGATATCAGGATCACGAGGTGTATTTCAATAGATGCACGTAAGATGAGACGTTCTCCACCACGAAGATCGGAACCCACAGTGAGTGAGCCTGGGTTCCAGCCCAAGAAAACGTCCCTCCCTGGCCTCTCGCGCATATCTCGGTAACCAACCTATCTCCACGGGCGAGTCTGGGTCGCCAACGGGGGCCTCGTCGGCCGCGGCGTCCTCCTCGACTACGCCGCCTGGGCTGCCTCGCAGGACCTCACACCCGCCCTGGTCGCGACGACCGAGATCCCCGTCGCCGACCTCGAGCGCGTCGGCCTTCCAGGGCGGCGTGGACTTCTTCCCCGGCGACATCTTGCTCATCCACCCGGCTTCGTCGCGGCGCTGGCTGCCCTCTCGGATGCCGGAGCGAGCGCGCACGCGGCGGACAATTCTCTGGCGGCGATCGGCGTCCAAGCGTGCGAGAAGAGCCTGAGGTGGATCTGGGAGAGAAGGTTTGCGGCTGTGGCGAGGGACATGCCGGCATTTGAGGCGCTGCCTTTTCAGAGCCGGACGCCCTGGCTGCTGGCTGGCTGGGGAATGCCCGTTGGAGAGCTTTTTGATCTGGGCCGGTTGGCGGCTGAGTGTGCGCGATTGGGGAAGTGGACGTTCTTCTTTAGTACTGTGCCATTGAATGTGAGTCTCCTATCGTCTCCGCTTGCCATCTGGCGGATAAAGGAATGTACTGACGGGGTTGAGCCCTTGGTGGAGTGGTTAGTCTGCCGAATGGAGTAGCGATCTTGTAGGGTATCTCAACGTTCGAGAGGATATGGTTCTTTTGTCGTGGGAGCTTGTATCAAAAGTGGTGTACAGGACTTTGGCACAGGAACCGACAGCTTCGAAGCCCTTGGATTGCCAAAAGCAGGTCTAGGAATTTCAAGTGATTCAGCGAGAAGAAGAACGAACATATAGTACCCAGACCCAGACCTAACAAGTCCATCAATGCGGTTCCATCTTGTGCTTTGATTCGGCGGTTCCCTTGCAGTTAGGATATGTCAAAACCAGCAAGCTCTTTCTAGATGACATATCTAAAGCCCAGTCCTCTCCTTGGGCGCAGCTCTCCCAGATCGCCAACCTCTGCCTCATTCTCAAGCTTTTCCAGCTTCTGGTTCTCCTTAACATGCACCACTCTCAGCACAAGCGCAAACACGGCCACCAAGAGGCACACACCAGCCACGGCCGCCCCTCCAGCCAGGTACCTCGGCCCGTCCGACTTGGGATACATGTACGAGCCATAAATACTAGCCGTGTTGCCGACCATGTTACAGATGGCAATGCTGGCCGATCGCTTCACCGCCGGCCGGAGGAAGCTATTCGCGACCCAAGCGATGATGATCTGGTACGCGGAGACGGCGCCCATGGGCATGAGGAACATGGCGAAGAAGCGCGCGCCGGTGCTGGTGGCGGAGACGACGATGATGTTGCCAAGCAGAGAGACGAGCATGAGACACGCGATGTGGATGGAGCGGTCGCTGGACCGGCCCGAGGTCCAGGTGACGAAGAGCGAGACGAGGAAGGTGGCGAGCCAGACGGGGGCAGTGAGCAGGAGGGTCGTGATCCGGTCGTAGCCGAGCGTGTTGACGATGGTGGGGAAGAAGTACTGGAAGGTCTGCGAGAGGAGCGAGAGGTGCTGGAAGAGGATGAAGATGTAGAGGCGGTAGTCGCCGAGGGCGAGCTGGAGGCCGGTCCACAGCGAGGTGGAGGACGCGTCGTCGGTCTCTTTGGCGTCGTCGATCATCCGCCACTGAGCGAACATTCGTTCTTCGTCCGAGAGCCATTTTGCAGTGCCAGGGAAGTCGGGAAGCACGAAGCTGTGGGTAGATGGTCAATTGGAGATTCGGGATGGTTCAATGTCGATCGTCTTACATGGACGTGATAGCTATTCCCACAGTGATAACTCCTTCGATGATGAACAGCCATCGCCATCCATCAATCCCATGAGCTCCATCCAGGTTGCCCAGAATAGCGGCAGCCAGAAGGCCCCCGAACATATTCGCTAGAGAGCTTCCCGAATAAACTTCAACCATCAGCATCATGACATCAAGGATAAGTCAGGGGTGAAGAATCGCTTACACCAAGCAATCCGATGAGCAAGCTCTTGTCGAGTGTACCACGAACTAAGCAACATAATTGCACCGGGGAAGAACGGAGCTTCCGTAATACCAAGAAAGATTCGACAAGCAAGGAGCCCGGCAAAAGACTTCGTTGCCGCCTGAGATGCAGATACAACACCCCAAAGAGTCATTACAGTTCCCAGATAAACAGATGGACGGACTCGAGTCAAGAGTAGGTTTGATGGGAGTTGCATAGTGAGATATCCCTGGGCATCATCAGCCAGGGTACTCCTCAACGGACGAAGAATGAAGACGTACCACGAACAAGATACTGGTGGCAAGATTGAAATCCGTTCCGTTCATCCCTAGGTCTGCTTCCAGCGACCCCAGACGTGCTTGCGCCAGGTTCGATCGATCGAGGAAGTTGAGTAGGTACATCAGAATGAGGAACGGCAGCAGCCGAACGTCGATTTTCCTCAGCAGCTTCTTGTTCTGGATAGCCTTCCACTGGTCATTGTTCGCTGAGAAATCCGCATAGATTTGGACGGATGGGTCAGCGGTTGCTTTTGCAGTATCAGCAATTTCCACATTGTGAGTTTCGTCGTCGCCTTTGTCGGCGCTATTGGAGGTAGCCATGGCGAGAGAAACGGGACGCTTATATGGTGTAGGTTCGAATGCCAAAAGCATAATTTTTTAAAAAACTTTTGATTTATTGATTTAGAAGAAAATCTGGAGAAGAAACCCTCCGCATTGTACCAGTGCTACCTTCCCCGCTCCGGGTGTTGATGGCACGAGGAGAGATGGGGGATCGTCAAAGTTCCGTGACTGGCCGCCACTCGCCGATCACCAAGTCGGTAGACGTCCGAGATATATTCAAATGCACACATTCATAGAGCTCGAGATTTCTGTAGGTAACAAGCCGGGGGCTAAAAGCATCGCTGTAGCTCGAGAGCTGCCAAATACCGCCTTCGCTAGCTTGACGGATAGCCGAAACACGAGGAGCAGGTCAACTCAAGTAAGCGAATTTTCAGACGATTGAGCTCTCCTTGCGCTAAATAAATAAATCTCGTTGCCTGGATACAGCGTCCGAAATGGATGGATAAAGCCAGCGGTATAGTAAAGCGGAAACGTGATGAAGCCCGTTGTCCTCGTAATCTTTAGCGACTTAAGCCCACTAGGGAAGAAATTCTGCTGGGTCATAGATACGCTTTGAAAGCCCCTTCGTGCCCTTAGAATCGATGATCTAAACAGCTCTGGTTAACACCTGTTCTGGATCAAGCCGTTGGGACAACCCAGTATCATTATCACAGTCAGGGATCGAAGAGTCAAAGGCAGTGTGGTCTGCAATTCTATAGATCCTTACCGATGGATATTCTTTTTTGATGCCCGATCTGAGTTATCCGAATTACGCATCAGGGAATAGATTTTTTTGAGGTGGTAGCTTGGAGTAAGGACGCTATCGTAGGAACAGAAAGCCGTCTCGAGAGGAACATCACTGTAAGAATTAGCTTCGATGAAGTGAGAAGACTGACCGAGCACTCAAAATTGGACGGCCCAAGCAGCGCCGCTACCTTCTCGAGATCCGAAGCGCAGGATCGTGGTGGTACTAGACATTTGTATCTTAGTTGAGCAGCCTTGACCCGGAAATTGAAGAAATCAAGCCGCCGAGCTGTGTATCCGGCGTATTCAAACTCCTTATGTTAGGTTGAATACGAATGGGTCATTTCTCAGCTCTTCTAGGCGCTTTCGGAGAAGCAATGGATTAACGGTCAAAGGCTCCTTGTTATCCATTTTGCCGTCCTGGTAAGAAGAACAGGAGAAAACCGAGGGGGCCTCGTTCAAATGCATTTTCGTAGAGCATACTGTTCTTTAACAGTCTGACAAAATATTCAAAGGTTTCAGGTATGTAATATTCCGGATGACCTTTCGACGTCAGAATACCTGAATCGTTGATAGTATTCACGAGCGGCTCAAGCTGCGAGGTTAGTATTAATCGTCGGCTCGCTTAAGTAAACCTTTTCATATCTTTTCAAACTTAGCCGGCGTAAGGGATCGCGGATCAAAAGCGAGTGCGGATTTTCGTATATATTAGAAATTCTTTTATATCACAGTAATTACTATTATACTTATGCGTTTTCAGCCTTTAAATAATCGTAAAATGCAGTTATATAATCGTAAATCAAAAGGTGAATGGCAAATTGTATTTTATATACACAAAAATCAATAATAAAGCAAAAAAAAACCCCCCCCGCATTCGCTTTCGAACCGCAACCGCTTACGCCGACTAAGACTGAAAAGATATAACGAGGCTTATTATCTAAGCGGGCCGACGATGAGTCTCTGACTACCTAGTAATTTGCCCCGAACGAATTCCAGCGCCAACGAGACCGAGGCCGTCAAATCCGTCGTCCAACGTCCAAGGAAGGCGCATAACACTCTTAAAAATGCCAGATTAGTATACTATCACCCAGGGATATCTGAACTCTATATCTTTGATCTCTACGAGTATGATCATATCTCAGCAGTGGTTATATATAACCTTTGAACGAAGCTGTCGCGAGATATTTCTTCCCTGGGGCTTTCTACTGCCCACTTACTTTCAACGCTTTGAGTAACGGCTCGAGTCTTTCTATCGCGGTAAACAGATCATGAAGGAAAGCTTCGGGTCGGAGATGAGCTACCGAGGTACTTCCCTAGGATTTGAATATCGTGAATATCTCATTCGTTTTTCGTTTTTCGTTTTTCGTTTTGATCGAGATCATGGATGGAGGGTCATAGCGGGGTGAGTTAATACAGGGACCGCATCCCGGCATCACTCTATATAAATGCTCAATCATCAAGCATTATCACATTTTGACACCGATAAAAGATTATGCTATGCAGCTTAGGGATTTGAGAAGTTTCGAGCGGAAAGGCCGGTTGATCTCCATGCATAGATAGTATCGTCGGTTGATATTCTTTGTGCTACGCTACAGGTTCGAGTACCTCCAGGCTACACTCCAACTAAGCGATAGGCCTTGTGATCTAGCAAGGGAACTGTGAACAGGATCATTTACGCTACATACAAACCTATAATATAAGATAATCGATTAAGACAGTCTTTTTATCGGTGTGTATAGTGATCGAGATGGCATGAATCGAATGTTTCACCCCACTTTAAAACACCTCCCGACACGGGGGTCTGGCTCGGAGTGCCCCACGATCCACGTATATCTACCTATATAAACGTCTATATAAACATAACCTACCTGTTCAGTTCAAGCCAGCTCCTATTCTTTGATTCAGAGAGTCTGGATATACATTTTGGTTCCCCTCATCGGTTGTAGGCCTTCGAGTTTCTCCATCTGCGAAAAGACGATGACGGTGGCGAAGCTGGCGCTCGGCCAAGCCGGGCTACCAACTCCCAACTCTACAAAGTCGTTCTGGCACACCCAGCCGTCCCAGACCCTCCTGGGACATCGAACGACAAAATGCCTTCCAGCGGAAGCAGACCTGGTTATTGTGGGAAGTGGGCTATGTGGAACCAGTGCTGCTCATTTCATACGAGGGGACGAAGCAGGGAGAAAGCTCAAAGTCGTGATGCTCGAGGCACGAGAAGCGTGCTGGGGAGCAACGGGCCGAGTGAGCCTACATTCCCCGGATCGCCGAAGGAAACGAGAATCTGACCAATTGTAGAACGGAGGCCATTGCCAACCGGTTGTGTACGGAAGCCCTCCGGAGATCAGAGCTTTTGAAATGCGCAACTATCTACACATCAAGGAACTTGTGGCCAAAAACGAGATTCCGTGCGAGTGGAGGACGCTCTCTGTCGCCCACGCATATACGAACCAGGAGTTGTTCGAGCACCGCGTAACGGAGTTCGAGAACGCCCTCAACCAGAGTCCAGAGATATCAACGCTGGTTTCCGTCATCGGGAAGGAGTCAACAAGCCCTTCGCTAGGAGACCTCCGGATCCCGGACGCGTCGGGCGCGTTCCTTCAGAAACATGCTGCGAGCTTGTGGCCCTACAAGCTTGTTTCCTGGATGTTGGAGAAGCTCTTGAGAGAAAACTCAGACGCTTCTTCCCCCGAGTTCAACCTCCAGACCAACACGGCAGCCACGCACCTCCAGGAGGTGGGTGGCGGATCCTGGATCGTGCACACCCCGCGAGGGATGATCGGTACGAAGAGAGTCCTGCTCACCACTAATGGCTACACGTCTCACCTGCTGCCTCACTTCCGCGATCTGATTGTCCCTGTGCGAGGAGAGATGAGCAGTCTCGTTCCGCCTCCGACGATGAAGCCCGGCAGTTCCAACCCACCCTTCGACTACTCGTATGGCTTTGTGGGAATCGGGCAGCAGAACGAGCCCCAGGATGACTACCTCATCCAGCGACCATACGCCAGAAATAACGCCGGTGGCGAGCTGATGTTCGGTGGCGGGCGCTCATACGCAGCCCATGCTGGGGTTGGGGTGTCGGACGATTCATCCATCGATCTTCCTGCTGCCGAGTACCTCCGGACGGCAATCAATACCGTCGTCGATATCAAGAGCGAGCAGAAGGAACTCCAAGCTAGCTATGAGTGGAGTGGTATCATGGGATACAGCCGTGACGAAAGGCCGTGGGTGGGCGAAGTGACGGAAGACTTGGGTCTCGGTGGGGGCACAGGACTGTGGGTCAGCGCAGGATTCACGGGCCATGGGATGCCGAATGCGTTTTTGAGCGGGAAGGCGGCTGTGGATATGATTTTGGGGAAGAAGGGGGACGAGGTAGACCTGCCACACGCATATCGGCTGAGCAAGGACAGGGTGCGAGAGGCGCGGATGTTGGATGAGGTGCACGTCGCGCACACCAGAGGCTAGACCGGACATGGGAAGTTGGAAGGCTCTTTTGTACTGTTGCTTTCTCGGGATTCTCGCTCCGTACAAGTATTAGAGAAATAGATAACGCAAGTTGCTACTGCATGTCTGATCAGCCTCATGATATCGGCGCGATATAGTTGCTAGCTACGTCTTTCACATGGTCGCTATTTTCATCCATAGTCGCGACATCGGCTGCGTATTCCAGCTTCTCCAACAACGGGGAAATGTCTTTCCAAAAGCCCGAGGCGCAAGGAGCTGCAGTAATCTTTTTTCCGTCTTGAGGACGGCATCTTCCACACCGACTTGCGTAGAGCAAGTATATGCTCTCTTCCACGTACGTTACTCAGATCAAAAACCCCCAAGGAAAAGTGTCATGTTTTCCTCTGTCTAATACATATATAGATCATGAGGCTGCAATAACCGAAAATTGACACGAGCGGGCTTACTTCCGAGCCGTATGCCAGACCTGGGTACATCGAGTCATCGATTGAACATGCCAAGAGTAAACACACGGAAGATGTCCTGTCCGAAACGACAGGATCATCGCGGGAAAATCCTCGCCGTTCCACAGCCTTTCGATGCATGAGCTCAGCCGCAGAGTACGGTAAACTGAGAAGAGCGTCCAGTCGCAGCCATTCCAAGCCGGCTTTAAAAGGGTAAAAGGGGGAGCGCGCAAAGACTCGATGGTTAAAGCAGATAACACCAAAACGAAGCCGACATCTACGAAAAGGGAGTGAAAGAGCATCTTCCAAAACGTGACCCCTGTCTCTTACAGTATTAGGTATTCTCCTCACAGTCTTGAAGTGCCAACGCATCTAAGCATAAAGTATCGTATCCACGCTTAAGATCCGTAATATGCTGTTTCCATTTGAATAATTTCCTCGGACGTTCTTTTCAATGCTGTCACTTACCCCAGAGCCCTGGCCTCGAGCCAGCCGTTGTATTGCCTGGGAAAAGATCTAGCTGGTGCGAGATGTGGTCTCGATCATCCGTGTGTGGATATCTTTCCACGGGCGCGTCGCATCCCAGGGAATGTTGTATTGTCGTCGGATGCGGGGGCTTGGCTGGGCGCTTGGTTAGTTTCTTTGTGTGTTGGCTGGATGCTTGGGTTTAGACTTGAGGTTGGAGGAAGAGCTCGGATGATCGAGTGTACCGGTACTCTGTGCAGCCAGCCGGCTGTGAAGAACGCTTTGCCGATAGAAAAGGTACCGGTAGCGTGCTCCAACCGAGAGCCGAGCCGAGCCGAGCCTAGCTACCGGTGGTAGCTCCAGCCAGCCAAACAGACCCGCCCAAAGTCCCATGTGACTGACTGACCATACCAAGTCGCCCCAAGCTCCAATCTCACGCCAAGCCCAAGCCAAAGAAGCCAGAACGGTAACGCATGTCGCAATTCAGTAGGTAAGTAGCGAAACAAAACGGAAGGGCGAGGGGGCAGATTATATTGAGACCCTAGCTAATACAGTAAGATCTCTCCACTACCTACAGCCTGCACCACGTCCAAAAGCAACCGTGGCTCCTGTTCCGGTCCTCACTCACATGACGGCTTCAAAGATCAGTTGTAGTGCGCTAAGCCAGAGATGGATGTTCTCGTTTGGTGCAGAATAGGTAGGATATATATATATATATATATATATATATGCAGACGAAAGTACCGTTCCATAGGTATATGCGTACGCGTACAA